AGCTCAAAATATTTCTTTGTAGAAAAGTATCACCTGATATATAATTTCTCGAGAACATGGTTTCAGCATAAAAGAAAGAAGGACTAGGTAGTTTAATAAGACACTTGTTTTTTTTTACCATTGCTTTTGTAAACATGTAATTGGATGGGGATTATCTTCATTTTTAAAACGATTCAGTAATGGATATTGCTATTTTGAAAAATAAAATATCATATTTCAATACTAATAGTGCTGTTTACTGTATCGTCGATTAGAAAAGCGAAACTTTTACCATCTAAGTATTAGAAAACAAGTAATAATATTTTCAACAACTATTAAAGAACATAATATACTATTTTTAGCTATTCGAATCAATTTAAAAAAATATATTTGTATTAGGTCTAGAATATGAGTGACCAACAGATGATGGCTTGTTTGATATAAAATTGCTCTACCGTTAACGGTTTTTTGCTTTAAGAATTTGTATCGACGACGATTGCTCACAGTTGGTAATCTTCAGAAGAATCTTCGCAATATTTTCAATAAAACGGAAATTTAAGAGGTCTTTGATCTAGTGCGTGTAAGAAGTCGCGTTATTTACTGCAGAGAACGAGCTTTTCGCATCGCTATCATTCTTATCACCATAAAGCGTCATTTGACTCTGAAGATGTTAATAATCATAAATCGTTTCTTTTTCTTAGAACGCTTATACAACATTTTTTATTGCTGGTTAAGTACCCGCTTCATTCGCTTAGAAACCTTTCACTTTTTGCTTATGTGTAAGCATGGTACTAAAGATTATTGGAACTGATAATACTGACATTCTCTAGGATATTAGCTCAAAATATTTCTTTGTAGAAAAGTATCACCTGATATATAATTTCTCGAGAACATGGTTTCAGCATAAAAGAAAGAAGGACTAGGTAGTTTAAAAGACATATGTTGGAAATTGATTCTCCTGAGCAGGTGACAGAAATCATGAGAATGGTATTTCTGATTTATTAATAAAATATTTAAAAGAAAAAAAAAGTATCATTATAAAATACGTAGTTTTTTCTCGGATTTCGATGCTGGTGGTTTAGTAGCCACTATTTTTCTCACTGATACTCCTCCAACAGTTGTAATGTATTTTCGAGCATTCAGTTTTTGCTCTTCAATATTTGGCATTAGTTTTCCTGTGGTAACAGGTAGTTCAGTTTGTCGCAATGCTCTTTCTCGTAATTCCAATTCGCATAGTATTATATAAGTATGTTCAAGCAAAAATGTCTCTTTAATTTCCACAGATTGCAAATGTTCTTCGGTAATATTTCCACTCCACATATCAATTCGTTCTAGATAATATTGTAATGGTGTATCTAAATGAATCGTATTGGCACCTAATACACGCATTAACAATCGTTTCAGTGTTCCGATCCATACAGTTGGTGATTCCAGAACGGTTGGTATGCCAGTTTTACCAGAAGTATGCGCAACAAATTGATCAAAAGTAGTCTCCTCAGGCCATTTTGCATCTCGTAATTCGGCTTTGACATACGTACGCAATACATTATCAAAGGCGATTTCTTCAATCAATTCGTAGAAAACAATAATATAAGTGAGTGGTATTGTGGAAAAGGGTGGTCGTCGAAACACATTTTCATGCAGACAAGCTTGTCGTCCAATATATTGTTCTACAAATGTTTGAAGAGTACGATTGACTTCATTCTCCTCTACATTACATAAGTAGGTGAAGATATAATCTAATGAACCTATACAAAGAATAATTTCGTCATTATTCATTGTTATCAGTAGTTTTCTCCATTTTTCTTGCTCATTCACTGGAAATGATTGTTGTTGAATCCGTCGTCGAATTTGAATGATCAATGAGGTATTTTCTGCATACAGTTCAAACTGATAGTTGAATACCTGTAATTTTTCATAATCAAGAACATGAAGACGACTAACCAGATTTCGTAATGTAATCTCAATTTCTTCAAAATCATAAATCAGATCTCGTCCTTTCCCATACTCGAAATTGATTACAAATCCATCTCGATCTAATTCGGCACTCAATTCATCAGTATCAAATCGAAAGACATGCTCCGCTTTGATTGCTTGTACTGGTATATGTGGAAAATCAATCGTTTCATTCAGAATCATATTATTAAAATATCCGATAATTTCATTTTGCATCTTACTTAATGTATGTAAATAGGCGACGACAAGAAGACTACTGGCATCTTTCGAGGTATTGATTAAGAGTAATGCTAAACTGGTATCTTGAGCAAAATTCGCAGCCGTCGTAGGTCGATCAACTGCAGGTCGTTGACAGCCTGCTTGAACTTCTTTCAGATCGAGTTTATACCAAGCATGAAGAAATTGATCAAAAAGAATGCGAATTGTTTCTCGATCTGTACGTGCTTCGTTCAAACAATCTTCAATCGTCTTCATGGCGGCATCATAGCGTTTAATTCGATAATTATATTTATATAATAAATAATTAGTAAATTCAACAATAGGATAGAGGTGTTGAATATTCGCATAATTATCCAATCGTTTCAGTAAAAATGTGGTGACAGGATAAAGTTTATCGGAGAATGGTAATGTGTCCATTTTGACCCGAAATTCATCCAATGGACTGGTAGTAATAATTTTGCTTGAGTTAAAAAAGGAGAGAAATGGATAAAGTTGTTCATTTTCACGTAATTCATCAATATAATCCTTTAGACTTGGTTGAGCATCACGTTCACGAACAAATTCCGCATAGGCCACACGATATTGATTGATTTCATCAGTAAATGACATGATATTTGGAAAGATAATAGTCTGTTCAATCGTTTGTTCCATCTCCACTACTTTTATTTGTGTATCTAAGGAACCAAATCGAATCAAGGCTGGCAACAACATATGATTGATCAATTTGTAAAGCCAAACATAACATTGTTCGGGATCTGTACATGTTCGCGATAATAATTCATAATCTTTTCCCAAATGTTCTTGGAAATGTCGCTGATTAGGAATGTTCATTTGCTGTTGAAGATTTTGAACGGATAAATATTCCAATTCATATAAAACTAATAACTGAGCATGGGTGAGCAGATGAAGGAAGCGATAGGAAACAGGTCGGTTGAGATGATTTGATTTTTCTCCTAAGATTGATTGATCTGCTGGCGTAGTATTGTAGTATCCTAAACGCACTTGGCGATTGAATATATCCAGATACTGATTAATAATTTGAAAACCTTGATCGATCGTCATTTGAATCTGAGGTGGCTGACGAGCAATCAACACTCCATACCGTTCGGCACCGATATCCTTTTTACAAAGTGGACATCGACTGCGAGAATTCGGGACACCACAATCTTCAAAATAAAACATCCACTGACATTCCTGTGAGCACTGATAGATAAATGAATTTTGCCGTACTATCTGTCGAGTATCAAGACGTGCTTGTATTCTTGCTCTGACATCTAACATTTGTGTTGCTACTGGATCACCGAAAACAAAGCCTAGAAGGCAAATAGACTCGATATGATCGGCATAAGAAACCGGCATTTGTCGTTGATTGTTGAATAGTAATGTACCCAAATGGGTTAATTGAGGTAGTGCACGGGTAGAAAGACAAAGAATAGTGATATTCAGAGCGAGCAAACGACAATGTAATTCAATTTTTGACATGATCGGCACAAGATTAAAATATGAATTAGGAGTAAAGTTAGTGCAGAGTGAAACAATTAATTTATAACCAATGGGTGTACATATAGTCAAGAGAGATTGTTTCCAATCGGTTCGAATCAACCTTATTAAGTTTTCATCTGCTTGTGCTTCGGGGAAATAAAAACAGCAATAACGTTGCAAAAACCACATATAAAGACTGTATGTCAATGGTTGGCTTTGTGCACATGCATCGATAAGTGTACGAATTTGATTGATATCATTAAGTTCATTTAGTGCTGCATTGACGCGTAAAAATTCATCACGTCCATCAAATAATGGTGTTGGCATAATAATTTCTTCTCGTATTTCATTCTTACCTTGTCGAATACGATTTAATAATGGTTTGATCCAGACAACTTGATGTTGAAGAAATCTCTCGCAGATTTCATTCAATGCGCTATTACTCATATGTATAAGCTGTTTGAGAATGAATAATTTAAGTGTAGCACCAAATGGACTTTCATTATTCGTTAAGAGACGATCGATTATCAGCATAATATCCAAATGCCAATCGTTACTTAAAGCAAATGCATACATATGAGTATAGTATTTTAACCAAGATAGAAGACCAATGGATCGCAGACGCAGTTGCTGTTGTTTGTCCGCTAATAGAACAATCATGGAGTGGAAATCTTCTTCAAAATGATTATATTCATCGGTCAATCGATCAGCGAATTTTTCCTCACTAATAGTTAGCATTAAATCCATATGAATTCGATCGACTAGTAATCGTTCAATCTTGTCACTTTCACCATGAAAATTTTGCAAATGTTCTTCCAAACGAGTGTAATCATCACTGTGAGGAAATTGGCCATGATGCTCTTGAATAGATTTGAGAATATCAAGTTTTTGTAAAATATATGAGAATATTTTTGCTGAATATCGCCATAGATGATTATCCTTTCGACTAATTAAGTAGAGAATTTCATCGTATCTGTCTGGATTATCCTCGAGCCAATGTTTTAACAAATTTACTTCTAATTTAATCGTAGTTCGATGAATTGTTTCTATATCGGCAGTGACTTGTACTGCTTCGAACTTCTTTGATAGACCATCGACAAATTCATGAATCGATTGGCAAGAATCAAACATTGCTCCTAAACCAGGATCACAGACTTGTTTTAAAATAGTTAATGATTGATTAGCCCCTAGACTAATAACACATCGGATTAAACTAATAAACGATCGTAATCTTTCTAGATTATTGACAGAATAATTCGATAATGTTAGAATACCTTGACAGATCAAACTGCAAGTAGTAGCAAGAAGTTCAATACTATTCACATGTTTAATCGTATCCGAGGAGAGAATCAGTTCAATCAAATTCATGATACTATTTTCGATAAAAGGATCACCGGAACAATTCATTTTAAATTCATCATCGATATTGATTTGACTAGGTGATAATTGAAAGAACGAATCTTTTGTCCATACTAATGTATAATAGAATATGTCCTTTTCAATATTAACATCATTCGTAACGATAAATTGTTTGGTACAGATATAACCCAATGTTTCTTCACCAACTAGTTGACAACCTTTTTCAAAAATCTTTAATAATTGTAGTAATTCTTCATGATTAGTTAATAGATGTTTCAAGCGAGATTTATTGTTCATAATGGGATTGGAAGTAATCAATCGAAGAGCAAAACCTACGGATAAATGAATATTATGTTCGGTAATAAAACGAAGAAGTTGATCATGTAGATAATGTTGAAATAAGGGTGGATTGTGGAAAATATCGTCATTATGAAATTGATTTTTGTACACACTCTTTTCTCGTAATTGTTCAAAGACGAAATTCTCGTTTTCTTCTTTATCATCATCAAAATTCATTCCTCCTTCTTGTCTTTGTTGAATTACTTTACGAATTTGTTGTAAAATGGTATATTCCGCCATGGCACAAGGTAATCGTAAATCAAAAATTGGTGGTACTTCGACGGTATCCATATGCAATACAGTAGTATCAATTGTTTTCAGAGTTGAATGAAGACATTCTAACCATACTTGTTGTGTTTGTTCGTCTTTTGTTCGGAGAAAAAATAGATAAGAATCAATAAAACCATATCGTTGAAGATGTCCAAATAATAATAAGAAATATCGTTCATAGAAATACGTGATTGTAGATTGAAAGGCATCTTTAATTGAACGACTCGTGGCAATAGTTCGAGCATCGGAGAAAAGATCTTGTCGCCAATCTATATATCGTCCAGATTCACCTGGATGAGGAATGTCTTTCATTAGTGTAGCTAATTTCTCTTGAACGATTCGTCGAAGAGAGAAGACTGTGTCAGTAATAACTAAGGAATCAATGATTTTATTTCTTCGTCGATTGATTCGAGATTCAGTTTCTCTATTTGTCACTCCATAATAAAATTTCGATAAACATCGTTCAATCATTTCATCAAATAAACATTCCGATAAGGAAAATTGTTCATTATTGATCAGAGCGAGATAAGAAGGATTTCGAATGACCTCTTGATGTATTAATTCTTGTGCATTAAGATCATCAATCATGTCAATTGACCAATTATCAAAAAGAACATCATTTGTTGCTTCAGCAAGCATATTTCTTTGCACATGAATTATCAACCAAATTAATCGAACATTTACTTGATTATGTTCTTGATATGCATTAAGTAAAATATTCTTTAAAGATAGAAGTTGTTTGTATTCTGTGCGATAATCAACACGAATGAGAAGTCGATGTTTAGCATTGTCCGAATGATAATGTGCTTTGATTTTCTCAACTAATTCTAATTCAGTTTTGAAATTTCCCAATTTAATTTCATCAATAGTTCTATTATCATATAGAATGTCGTCATAAATTTGAGTATAAGTATAAATAATCTGTTTGGAAATATCCCGAGTAAGAATCTCCGTAAAAGTAGAACGTGCATGAACATTATAATACTGTTGAATGAGTTCTTCATGATTGCCTTTCAAAGCTAACATAAGAATGAAATCAAATGAAGCTACTCGCAATAATTTCTCTTGACATAAATTCATCACGGTCTGCTCGTCAATTGGTTGTTCTTGACGATGCAATTCTTCCCAAGTATCGATCACTAAACTACACATATGATCTGCATTGTAGCCCATAAATAAATGTTGTAATAGTGGAAAATAATCGTTCGGTCGTACAGGTAAGAGATCCGCGATCCAATTCAGAAGACGATTGGTCATCTCCCAATGATGAGCCGGAATAAGATCTTTGATAGTAATTGGATGTTTTTCAAAACGATTGAGAAATGGTGGATCACATTTCTCCACATCTTGATGATTAATAAAAACAATGCAATAGAAATCATCATTGACCAAACATCGAGGATGGTATAGTGCACCTAAAGCAATTCGACAATATTTTTTCTGAGCTGATACAGCAAAATTTTGATTGAACAAATCATACAGATTATCATACAAATGTCCAAGTTGACGCATGACTAATGTAACACTTGTTTCTGCATACAGAATAATATCCATTAGCACACGATAACTGTATGTTTCTGTATATGTATGACTGGAAACGAGATCTCCTGACATTTGACTACCTACCAAAGTACGTACATTCTGTGTTCGGTGATAGGGAGAAACATAAATGTATCTTTCGACATAATCGATAGCACTTTCACTTTCGGCAATAAGCATTAAATACCGTCCAGTAGAACGTAATCCGAGATTTTTATCAAGTAATTGTTTTAAATTTGGTGGTTGATATTGAAGAACTAATTCTTCTCGTTGAAGTGTCTTACAGAAACTATGCCACATGAGAGTTGCTCCATCGACTACACCATCGAAATTAATAGTCAATTGTCGACGAATGATTTCATATATATCCATTTCTGGATGAATCTGAATTTCTCTCACGACACCTTTAATCAAAGAATAAAAATCACGCAAACCAAAATAATATTCATATTTTTGGAACATTTTAAGAGAGGTAAATAATTCATAATAAGCCATTGCTAAACCTGGAAGAATTTCTCTTCCTAATCGAGCTGCTTCCAGCGCACTCAACATACTTTGTGCAATGACAATACCGGTAGTTTTTAAATCTTCGTCATCCGGATCAGGACAAGCTAGATACAATGTTCGATTCATTTTCGATGCATCCAAACGCCAGTTAGATATTCCGACAAAGCCATATTTGCATGTTTCCACTTCCAGTTCGGCATGCAATACTTTCAATGGATTATGTGGAGATAATTCTGCCAAACCAATTTCATCGAAGACGATAACCGGTAATAACGCTGAATCTTTCTGAGCGGTAAGATATTTACTCGCACGTTCGAAGACTTTTTCGATACTTTCCGAAGTGCAGTTTTGTGAACCTTGATACGAAACAGCAATCAATTCGGGAAGAGTTTGTAAGAATAAATTGTGTGATTTTTTGCCTTTGAGATTACTGATAACAATTTGTACTGCTGATGTTTTACTACAACCAGGTTTGCCACAGATGACCAATGGAATGCGGTTGACAACACATGCTAACAAAACAAAGATATTTTCGAGCAATGCACGATTTTTCGCTGTTCCAGGCGGTAATTCCATTCTATTGATGATATCCATTTCTTCTTCGTTCAGCCAATAGAGAACAAAACCTCGTTTGACCGCATGTTCACGAAAGATTTCTATTAAGGTTGTTTCAACTATATCGAGATATTCTCGTTTATGTTCAGGAGATTTCAAACGGAAATAATAACATAATAAAAGCGCAGTGATACCTGCTCGTCGCAAAGTAACGGCCGGTGAAGCAGTTCCCGAAGTTCTTTCAATAACTGAAGCATGATACCAATTAAAAAGTCGACAAAAACGTGAAACATCCCGTAGACTAACACTACTAACATCTTCAATGGTACGTATAAATGCTTGTGATTTGCAGACTAATGTGACTAGAGCATTAAACCATCGTCCTTTGGCTGATAAGTGCTCACAGGTTTTCAGCATTGTGGCAATATATTTTTTCTCCGTCTCACGGTCAAGAAAACCATAATCCCATACATATTCCAGCATTGTTTCTGGAAGAGGCACCACTGTATATAACAGACGTGCTCCACCGATGGCTGCATATAATTGCTCTACATCGTATCGTTCTTTTTTGATGCCAATATTATTATCAAATAGGATTTGATCCGGTTTGTATCGTCGTGGATTGCAAGCACCGAGAAAAACCATATTTACTGGTAATGGTTGACCCAACAAAGTTCGTTCACATGTAATTTCTTTAATAATTCCAATACTGCGTGTGGTATTAAACTCATCGAAAAATATCCAGAGTCTTTTCCCTTGAACTTCACATTCCTGTGCTCGAAGAATCAGATGTGCCATTCGATCAAGAATCTTCTGGACATTAACACCTGCATGCATACGAAAGATTTCTAATTCATCATCCAAAATAATTTGACATAAGAAGCTAATTAATGCTGTTTTACCACATCCTACAAACACATCAGTAAAACTCAATGAAATCTAGATCATTTCAGTACCTGTTTCACCCATGATCAATACTGGTAGGCCACTTTGTACACGCAAGAAGACCAATAACATTTTGATGTAGTTGTCTGGCGTTAATACATACTGAGATTCAAGTGAAATAGCAATAGAAGTTTGAAAAGCGATAATATCATTACTGTCAAATGAAATTGGTCGAACAAGCTCTTCGTCTGCTGCACAATAAGCACAGTGTATGGTATTATAAGGAAATTGCTTATAACATTTTCGACAAATGGCTTTGTTGAAGTATTTGTAAGATAATGATGCAAGTTTCAAGAAAAACTGAACATGCGATAATTGACTATGATCAGGAAACATGTCAGTCTCAACAAAATCTCCATTATTTTGTCTTCCATTAGAACCAAATGCCTGATAAAATGCTTTGAAAGCCTCAATCAGAGATCTAGGTACGTCCTTGACAGTTTTATACACAAATAAAGGATCATGTGTAGAAGTAAAAACTACTGTAAATGGTTGAGTATTTTCCCATCGAATCACGGTATCAGTTAAAGCAACGGATGGTATGTTGACATCTCCTTGTATTGTTGAACTAGCACGCTGTTGTTTTCGCACATTTTCTACAGATAGGGAAGTAAACTGTTCCGATGAACGAAGAAATGCTTGTAAAATATCAAGACGTAATTGAGGATGTATGAGGCAATCAACCAAAAAGTGGCTACATTTGGAAAAACCATGGAAGAGAGAATAGAAGACCGACAAATAGATGTGTAGTTGAGTCCAGGTAATAAATTCAGAATTTTTACCCGAAGAAAAATATGTGTGAAGTAACCGGAGACTGTTAGGTGCATCGATAACGCGTAGATTTGTGTCACTGATATCGGATTTAATAATAGTTGTCGATTGAATCGCATCTAAATAATTGACAACGAATTGTACCTTGAGAAGCTGATGCTGAAGTTCGTTCCAATGGACATGTTCCAGATGATGTCTTGATTCCAAATATGGATAGATGGTAAGACAGTCTTGATTTATTGCTAAAGGAGAAGCATCGAGCTCGATAAAAATAGGTGTATCTGCTGGAAGAAAGATGGCCATTTGACCAAAACGAAAACTATGAAACAAGGTTAAACAATAAAGAATCTCGTCTAATGTTCGTATATTGTCTACAGGTCCAATATCAATATGTAAAACCGAATTCGTTATTTCTACAGTATGTTGAGCTAAACGTTCGGCGATTTTGTCACCCTGTACGTCGCCTCCAATCGGGAACTTAATCAACGGTTTACCTATACGACGTTCTTGTTCTTGGATGAATGATGTTTTACCTAAGCCGGCCAATCGTGAAGTAACGAGAGAACAATGACGTAACATTGTTCTCAATTGATTAGCAAAATCAGTTTTATTGAGTAGATCTTGATCACGCAAGGTAGTAACAATATTTAATCCTTTCAACGCATTAATGAGTTGTACATTCTGTGCGGCTGACGTGGAAATTAATCCAAGATGGAAGAAATGAGCAGGATAACGTTCAATAAATCCACGTAGTGATGGCACCATTCGATCTTGAATATCTGCAGACAATAATTGTGGTCGAATGAGAATCTGCAATGTTTGTGAAAAGAAACATCGGTAGATAAATGCTCGTATCTCGGTCCAATTCGTTCGTTCTGTACAATAGAATACTTGATGAACATGCGTAGGGTTTTTGGTCAAATGAAACAAGGAAAAAAGTGCACGGAGTATACCATCTTCATTTGTATCCACTAGCCAAATTTTCTTACCGAGAAGATTTACTCGGGGATATATACGTTGGGTGGTAAAAATACGACCAAGATTTTCCAGATATTCGATTGGATGTGTTGGTTTTGGTTTTGGTGTAGTCAATTTTTGTCGAAGCTGTTCAGGTTGAAAACCAATATATTTGATTAAATGAAATCCATTGCTTGTATCATCATTATTGTACAAAGCATGTTCGATAGCATGAAATTGTTCACAGAAAAAATGTGTTAATTCTGGATATTCTTCATACACTCGACACAATTCTCTTTCCCAATCATCGAAATTTTGCTTAAGATCGGTACAAAGTTGTTGCAAATCATTAAATTGTCCGTCGATGCAAGTAAGTATTTCCGTTTGATTATAGCTAGTGATAGAAGGATGACCAGCAATAAATAAAGATGACAATGTTTTCAATATTGTTTCAATTACATTAACAAAACTAATGAACTGTTGAAGTTGTTCAGTATTTAATTCTGCTTCTCGCTTAAATTTATTCCCATCAGAATATTCGATTAAACGTGCTCGATCTCGTAATTCACTTAAATCAGCATATGTCACATTCTGTGGATGTAAACGTACATTGAATTCATATTTTTTGGCTGGATTCTGTTTGAATGTAATCGATGATCTATGCATAATATCGATAATACGTTGACGTTTTGATTGTTCCTTATTGGTTAACTCTAGATAGAGTCGTTGGATGGCTAGAAGCGATGCTGAACAGGTAGGAAAGAGATCCACAATACGTTGAAATTCCGGCACTTGGGATATCTTTTCAAAACATGCGGCAATGTGATCAACAGTCAGCACAGCTTCCTGCTCTCGAATTGTAACATAGACTTGATCAAAAAAGGTTTTCAGCGTAGCAAAATCCATGACTGTTCTTGTGCTAATTAATGTATCATCCCAATCGTTGACTGCTTCTAATAAATTAACCATTTCAGTCGCTGATATTTTATGTACAAAGTCGATAACATCACGGGATACAGAATAATGTGACCATAAAGTAAGACTTTGTGGTTTATATTTATCAGCACATGTGGTAATATATCGCTGATAACAATCATAACAAGCCTGCCCTAGAGTTTGTTCATTAATGGTGAGTAAACCATCCAGTGACTCGATAACCACGCCAGGATTTTCGTCCAATGACACTTTGAGATAATTCAACAAATTTTTAATCCCATGACATACATGTTGGAGATAAGAACGTTGCTTCCAGAAATTCAAAATAGCTAATAAATAGGGAACAGCAGTAGCTTCGATAAATGCTTTTAAAAGGTGAATATCGGTTTCTGCGAATTGAAGATTGGGAAAAAGGTTCAGCAACTGTAAAATAGGAATAGTATTCCATTGAACACAAACAGTTTGTAATTCATGTTGGAAAAGATTTAAAACCTTGGTTGCACGAGTCAATATTTCCATACAAGTGTAGTTAGTATTGATCGGGACTGGTTGAGCATCTGCTGTTATTACAGCTGCTGCGATTCGGTTAGGTGTCTCATCTATAAGGCTACCATCCCAATGTTCATCGGTATCGTGTGATTTCTACACCACTTGGTTTGAATGTTTCCTATGCGATGAATATTATGTGCAAACAGAGCAGGAATCACAACAATTTCAACAGTTGTTGAAAGAATGGTCGAAGAAATTTCAAGATGACCGTGATTTATTGGAGAAAATGACGTTGAAATTAAATCCACTTCTGGACAAATTAGCTGCTGTAATCAAGTCTGAAACTCACGATCGACGATTGAATTATTTTATTAAACATATGATTGATATTTATTTTCAACAAAGTAAGCCTTGAGACATGAATATATTACTAGGTAATAATCTCACTATTGTAGATCCTATTTATGATGTGGTCGCAAAAATTGGACCTTATCTACAGAACAACATGGTTCTTGATGCATTTGTAGACAAATTTGTTGCTGATCATATTGAACCAAAAAAATACATTATAAAAAACATGACACATTACAATAATCCTCTCAATCGACTGATCGAACTATGTCATCAACAATCTCAGACGCCAAATGAACTTCTTGCTCACTTATTCGCTCGATGTGTGAATGAAATTCGACCAGATAAAGATGAATTATTACGTGAAACATTTCTGGAACCAGCTCGCGATACTTGTACTTATGTGATCTTGTTTAATGACTGTTTTGCGTCTCTTCCCATTCGTCAGGAAACACTCAATCAATTGAACGATATTTGGTCCACATGGGAAAGACAACAACTAACCTACGAACAACTTTGGCGAAAGAAACATTACCATGCCGATCAAGAATATTGTTTTAATAAAATCTGGGACGCGGTCGGTAAATATAATGGTAGACAGTATCAAATTGGTGTACTCTTCGACACAGCACATAAAGATATGATGGAAAAAACCAGAACCAAAGAGAAGATTACCACCTGTTTGAATGAATATTGTGATCGAGCTAATGATAAACAAAAATATCTGAATCTTCTCATTGAAATGCAACGTCAACTCGAACGATCGGTAATCAATCAAATCCAGATACCACCGGAATTGAAACAACTAGTACC